AAAAAAAAAAAAAAATCTTACTGATTGTTTAAAAAATCTATAATTATATACTACTTTCCCCCAATTGAATGTTATCTTCAGTCGAGAATTTCTCTTGTATAGCATGGAATTTGCAGCAAAATTTTGGTGGAGTAAACTTCAACTGTTAATAAGAACCAACACCTGTTAGATGACTACATTTTTTTTAAAACGAATATATAATTTTATAAACAAGTGACTAATTTAAAAAAACAATGTAAAGAAAAGTATAATATCACCATATAAATATGTTTTTTTCTATCAAAAGTATGACAAATCGACTCATTTATCCATTAAACTGGCTTACACATAGAATTTCTTATTAGCTTTTTCATATTTGCATATACCAAAATCATATACATTTGAAATACATAAAACCACTTTATTCCTAATATTGATGTTACATATACACATCTCTCATTCATTCATATTATATTTTCTTCCAATTTAATAACTTATCTTGCTAAAAAAAAATATTATATCAACATCATCCTACATCCCACAACATTTACAACTTAATTCAATTTGTTTTTTCATAATAATTTTTTCCTTTTTTTTTGGCATTGTTCTCTGTAACAACAGAAAAAGACAAAACAACGGTCAACCCATTACTCTTAACACCCATATCTTTATGCTGACTAATTGCCCTTAGCTACAAAATACGTTTTGTGTTATTGACAAACAAACCGTGCATGACCCACGATCCTACGTGCGCGAACAAATATTATACAATATCAATTTTAGCATAACTCGGTCAACTAAATACAAAATATTAGTTTACATTTAGCTAAGCATAGAATTTCATATTTCATATTTTGTGAATAGAAATATATATTTATACTATGAATACTACACATTTTTTTTGTTAATGTGTAAAGTATGAGATTCTCTTAATATAATGTAAATTTGTAAAGAGATTATTGAGTTTCCCAAAATCTACTCTTTTTTTTTTTTTNAACTAGAGATATTTTTTATGGCCTCTAATTAGGTGGCAGCCGGCTCACTTTAAGATTAATTGCCGTGACCTCGCTAAACTACGCTGGAGGTCGATGGCTGGTCAATACATATGGGGAGAGGGACATGCAAAGTGATTAATTGTTGGAAAAAGTGGGTTCTCTGTTTTCTTCTACCAATTTAATACACCATTTATTAATTAATAATAAATACTAATGTTTTCTTGTTTCCTAAAATCAATTGGGACTACGACATTTCGTTACTATTGTGGGAAGGCTCAATTATTGATCAAGATCGAAGAAATTGTAAACCCCTAATGGCTTCATATATGATATACTTAATTTGACCTGACTTTTCAAATATGTTCAAATAATGTTCTCGTTATTAGTCAAGTCCCTTAGATAATTATAGTATTTTAATAAATTAATGCCGTACCTTAAGGATAGTATTTTAATAAAATTGTCATTTTTTTACAATACATGTAGAAAATTTTGTTATACAATTATGTCTAGTTGACTCACCTAATAGTTCAAAATGTCATTACAGCATTTTAGGAGAGAATGAAATAAGTTTTAAATTTTGTTGTACACTTATTCCTAGTTGACTCACCTAATAGTCATAATGTCATTACATCATCTTACGAGAGTATATTGTCATGATCGCTTGAGCTAATCACCTAAGCCAATATGTGTGGACAGCTCGACAAATAATATGTTTTAATATGTTCCAAACTATGATTAACAAAAAAAAAATCAGTAAAAAATTAATTTATTTGTATACAAACAAATCCTAAACAATTACAAATGTAAAACAGTAGTTATTTTACTTTTATACTGCCTTATAACTGTTTGGGTTCACACTCTTCAATTGTATGATACTTAGGTCTCAAGTTACTTAGCGAGGAAAATGATGCGTATTTAAGCTACTGAATCAAGTTGATCATTAATCAATATGATGAACCTTTCTTTTTACATATAATAATATCTAAATGAAATGTAATTTAGTAAACTAGATGGCAGCAATGCCAAGCCAATACTAATAGAGTGTGGAAAAATCTGCAGTATATACTCTCTTTCCCCTACAAATTTATTTTGTAAGTAGACATGGCCACGGGCCGAACCGGCCCGTGGCCCGAACCGTGAACCGGTACTGGCCCAGACCAAACCGGCACCGGTACCGGCATGAACAGTACACGGGCCGTGAACCGGACCGGGCTCAAAGCGGTCCGGTTACGGTTCAATGGTTTTCATTAACCAATCCCGGCGGGCCGGGCCGGGCCAGGACCGGTTCTGGTTTTTCCGACGGGTCGTAGTTCATTTTATATATTTTTTTTTTTAACCCGGCGGTTCGTTGAACCGTCGGGCCGGGCCGGTTCAAATGAACCGGCCCATAGGAATTGCCGGGCCGGTTACAGGTCCAACAATGGAGGCCCGCCGACCCGGCGGGCCGGGCCGGGACCCGGCACCTGGCCATGTCTATTTGTAAGGAAACAAATCAACTTTTCCACTATATTATTAGTGAAAAAATTAGAAAAGTAACTCATGCATCTTAAAAAGTTTTAAAATGCATCTTAATTTATCCTCTATTTTCTTTTAAAAGTCAAACAAATCAAGTGCCGTAATACCTAATGCACTGTTTCATATGAGGTGATCTAAAATTTTAGCTCGTATCTTTTTAACAAAATTGCATAATTATGCTTTGAAATAACATACTTTTATTTTTCTTGTATTTTTAATTTTAAATTGTGCATATATTTTGAAAATATATAATTGTTTGAGGCTTATATGTGTATTATCAACAAAAGAAAAAAAAAAACTGACCTCCATTGAGCCAAAGTACAAGAGGCCTTTTGTCAGCATTGTTGGTAGCTTCAGTGAGCCAATAGAAAAGGGCACGCCCGTCTTTTTCATTCACCGAAACATAACCCGAAAATTGAGAGAATTCCACTGGCGGCTGTCCGGGAAGTGCAGTTATTCTGTCTGCTTCTTGTTCTTTCGTAAGCGCAATTCCTTGGCAAATAATACTAATCCAAATCATGAAAAGTATCACAACAAGTCTTTGCACTTCCATTTATTCTNTAAAAAAATACTCTGATCAAACAGAATGAATAATGATGCACCAATGATAGATTTATACGTTATTTTATTTGTTTAAAAAACAAACTAAACGAAAAAATTAATCCTACTCTCTTAACTATCCTATTGCCCTTTGCCACATTGAAATTAAATGTGGGTTGGAGAGAGAGAGGGAGAGAGAGAGTTATGAAGCCATTAATGTGGTCTTAATTAAGCAAGTTGTGTTATGTATTGGACCAATTGGTGGGTTATATAGGTTGATAGGACCAGATAATATGGTCCTATTAATACATACTCTCTTATCATTTTTCTATAGGCGTGCGCGTGTGTGCCAGTTGTACAGTGCATGTGTGCAGATAGGAGAAGGTGGAGAAGTTAAATAGGCCTTCAATTTTGGAATTTCTATATCTATTATATGTATATATCCAGCCAGTCTAGTTGTATTGTATGATCCAAGATATATAAGACAATAAAGAATTTAGTCATCACTTGTAAGTTGCGTTTACTTCGAAGATGCTTCAAATCTTGAAAAATAATTGAATGCGTATTATGAAGCTACAATAGCAACTATACTTTAGATGCGGTGAATTATCTAGTACTAGTATTAAACATTATACAAAAGTTAGGTTTCAAGGAAACAGTAATGCTAAGTAGCAAAACAGTTGGCTCCGTTATGGAGCCAACATCCATGTGGGACTGTCCCACATGGAGCTATATTATTGGATGTTGGCTCCATAACGGAGCCAACTATTGGCTCCTTAGCATTCTTGTTCAAGGAAAATTATCCTTTTTACTAATTTTTGGGAATTTGGTCCATACCGCATGCCCAAGAAGCTCTGATTTTTGTCCTGTTTGGACTAGACCCTTACACCTAAGAGGCAAGTTCGGCTCTTAACCGTTGGATTTAGAAATGAAATCCTCAGCATTCATCTTGCACCAGCCTTAAATATCATTTCATCTCACTCTTGCCCTAATTGCTACATCCTATGCGATTGAACTCTCTCTCTTACCTGATTCTCACTCACTCCTCTTCACTGGTGAAATCAATAAAATAATTATATTCTTATCAGTGTTCTAAAAGTCGCTAGGCGCTCGACCAGCGCCTAGCGCCTAGTCGGGGCCCAGAAATCAATATTAAATGCCTTATTTTTTACTTATTTTAACTATCTACAAAATAAAACTATCTCAACTTATAATAAATTCACACACCAAAGTCCAAATAATAATATTAATATATATTAAAGAAAATAGGAGAACAAAATAATGTAATTAGTATTTAAAAAAAAAAAAACACTGAAAAATTGCCGCCGAGCCCGCCTAGGAGCGCCTAGGTCCGCCTACGCCTGCCTAGACGCCGCCTGGCCGCCGAGCCCGCCTAGGCGCCGCCTAGCCGCCTGACCGATTTTTTCTGCCGATTTGTACAAATCGGAGGCGCCCGGGCACTGCCTAGCGCCTAGGCGCCGCCTAGGCCGATTTTTGGAACAGTGATTCTTATTGATACTGACTTTTATTATTACATAGTACACGGGTACTTGATAAGAAGTGATACATTATAAGAAAAAATAATAAAATATTTATATTCTTATTAATAAATTGTAAAAAATAAAGAAGTAAAAAATTATATTATTTGACATGAAATTGTTTCTACACTTGATTTGTTAAAAGTAATAGTTGTTAATTATATTTATCAAGTTATATATGTCCAAAGCATATGATATCTACAATACCATAAATTTGATTCGATTTTTGTAGTTTTCTTAAAAGCCTTATTGTATTCACTACTAGAAAGTGAGACTGTAGCAACGAAATAGTGTTGCAATAGGGCAAGTTTTTGTTACTAATAAACAATAGAAACAATTATATTATGTTACATTATTAGTTAGTGAAAACAAGGGTTCAGATGCTCAGAAACGGATTCCGTTCCATTGCTATCACTAACGGTTTTTGTAACAAGCAAGCCGTTTCTAGTATTTGAGAAATAACAACCAAATTAGAAACGAGACTATTTGTTACTAATTAATGAGTAATAGAAACCAAATTAGAAACGTGATTATTTGTTCTTAATTGTTCATTAATAGAAACTAAATTAGAAACGAGAATATCTGTTCCTAATTATTCAGTAATAGAAACCAAATTAGAAACGAGCTTATTTGTTCCTAATTATTCAGTAATAGAAACTAAATTAGAAACAAGATTATTTGTTCCTAATTAATCAACAATAGAAACCAAACTAAAAACGATATCATTGTTTCGATGTCTCATTTCAGCTATCAATTTGTAACGGATTGTTTTGTTCTTAATATCTTAATATTAGTGACAATTACAATATAATAGCATATTTCGTTTTTCATTGTTGCATTAATTAATCACAAGATCAGTTTTCAGGTAAAATTGTTTTGCATCAAATGAATTCATTAATTCCACTAAAAATAAGCAAGCAATATTAAAGAAAAATAAAATAAAATACAATTATTTTATTTCATCAATACAATAATAAAAAATTCAATTGATAAAATATCAAAGTACAATTAATATACAATTAATACAAACTACTAATCATTTTATATCCTCAAATAAAATTGGAAGTAATATTTTTAACATTTGATGATTATGCCCCCATAGAACTCGCTGAGTCTTCTCTCGTTCTTGTGCCGCAGAGATGAACCCGTCATACATTGGCAACTTATTCAAGTTAAGATACTGTAATGATTCCTGAGTCGCTGATATGAACCCTTCATATGTTGGTGGCTTTTTCAAGTCCAGCTGCAATATCAATACCTCCTCTTTTTAGTGTTACATTCTTGTGTCTGTGTATAATAATCAAATTATTCATCATATCATATATATTGGTGAAAAGAAAAAAAAAATTGCACTTACAGACTCTGGCGGATAATTCAAATTTCATCCTATTCTTTGATGTTTCACTCCCATGCTGCTAGATTTCACTTCCAAATCTTATGTATGAGTGTAATTCTCAAATTGTAATTGTGGCGTGTTAAGTAGTTAATAGGATGATTTGGAGGGTTCAGTAGTTAATAGGATGGTTTTAGACGTGGTCGGTTAATTTGATATGGGATGTGGTTAATTAATATGATATAGAATGTGGTCAGTTAATATCCATGACTGTGTTAAACACATTATCAAAAAAATTCTTCTCTATATGCATCACATCCAAAATATGTCGTATCAAATTGGTATGCCAATAAGGCAACTCCCAAAATATGCTTCTCCTCACCCAATTATGTTTTCGTCCAAAACCATCTATTTTTGAGTCTTTCATAGATGCGCCATTAATAACATCAAGAAGCTTATCGAAAATCTCTCGCATCTGCTCACCAGATAATCTAGATGCCGCCACATCCTTTTCTATTCGACCCTTCAAAAATTTTCACGCTGTCTTTTGAAAGGGTGATCTAATGGTAAAAATCGGCGGTGACAATCAAAGAAAGATATCTTCTGTCCGAACTTAAGCCTGAAAGATTTTGAAGAATCCATACAATAGGGACATGCCAATTGACCATGTGTGCTCCTTCCTGACAACATGCCATAAGCGGGAAAATCACTAATAGTCCACATTAACGCTGCTCTCATCTGGTCAAATTATAGACAGTGATAATAACAGACCAACAATAGCACTTTGAGCCGGAAGTATTAAAAGGACAAAATCCATCCGTACATAAACCTAACCGAACCCCATGAGGATCAAGGCCAAAAAGTGGGTATGTTCTGTCAAAATGCTTCCAAGTTTCACTATGTACATGATGTGACATTCCACCATGAGTACAACCATTTTTTGCATGCCATATTAGGGGTGGGACCGGTCCGGTTATCGTCCAAAATTGGAAGAACCGAAAACCGAAGCGTATGTAAATTTTCAGTTCGGTCACTATATAATTTTTATCAAAAACCAAACAAGAACTGAACCACCTAATTTCGGTCCGGTTCCTCCAGTTCTTTGGTTAACCGAATATAATAAAAAAACTGATATTGACCGGGTATAAACCGGTTATTGTTGTACAAAACGGTTATTCTTGTATTCTTAAGAACATGTACCTGTTAACTCTCATAAATCATAATATATTAATACAAATTACAAAATACAAATTAGCACCATGACATGATTCAACTTACAAGCTTTAGTACAAATTAATAACTATCATCATGATTCATGAACCACAATACAAATCATTCATCAAATCCAACATACATTTAGTAATTACAAAGCCAAGCTGCCAAAGTCCACATTCCACAATCCATAATCCACAATTCAGTCCACAGTCACAAACTCACAGTCATAATCCACACTCCACAAGTCCACAGTTCCAAACAGCCACAACAAAGTACAAACCATAAAAAGTTAATAACATATCAGTTACATAGTTCAATCATCAATGTTCAAACTTCAAACTCAAACTTTCAAATCAAAGCTCAAAAGTCAAAGCTGACATTCAAAACTCAATTGCAGATACCAGATAACATTTCAAATGTTCATTTTGGAAGAAGTTCCAGCATCAGAGCCTTTGGGGGCTTTTGCAGCTTTTCTTTTTCTTCTCAATCAACTCTATTTCCTTCTTTTTCTCCAACTTCTCTCTATGCTCTCTCTTCTCTTGGTCCAATTCTGCCAAAACAGAAATAAAAATCAAAAAAGAAATGGGAGAAAAATCAGTGCGACATTGACGCTAATCAAATGATTGCACAAATTACATATGTCAAATATAACATTATAACTCAACTTGTTCAGTTTTTTCAAGCCATTCAATTTCATCTGGGGTAGGAGTGTATGCAAGGGTTGTAATTGTATTAGACTTAAGCCAACTTTGAAGACAAATCAATGCTTCCACTGATCTAGGAATTAATGAACTTCTATGAGGATCAATAACTCTTTTCCCAGTGCTAAAACTTGACTCAGAAGAAACAGTACTAACTTGAATGGCTAGCATATCTTTAGCAAGTGCTTGCAAATTAGGATACTTAATTACCTCCCACTAGCTTCCACCATGACAA